CCTCAACGAGATGGATTGACACAGTGGCTGTGGCAATGGGCTCAAGCATAGCAAGAATTGTGGAGCTCGCGTGGGACCAGGCGGTATTTCATTCTGCTGTGCAAAGGGTTGCTATGAGTCTGAGACGACTCGACGGCACCTAACAACAACAACAACCACAATGCAACTATTTTGCATAGTAATGAACACTGAGGTCTGAGGCAAGAGAAATGCTGGCTGTGATGGTTATAGTTATGTATCAACTTGGCTGGGCCATGATTCTCAGTGGTTTGGCAGTTATGTAATGATGTAATTTGACAGTTACCTAATGATGTAGTCATCTTCCCTTTTGTGATCTGATGTGGTCATCCTGCGTATCAGACTAATGCTCATTTTCACGTTAACAACCTGGTCTTTGGAACCTGACCAAGGTAATAAGTGAGCAGTGGGTATACACTTTTCATTAGGTCAATAAAGTATCCATCTATTCCTATTCTTAACTAGAGTTTTTAAAATTAGAACTGGTTGCTGAAATTTTTCAATATTAAAAATAATCACTTTACTCTTTGTACTATGATTTTTTTTTTTTAAATTGTGATTTGGGTGAAGATTTACAGAGCAAATTCACTTTCCACACAGTAGTACTACTATGATATTTTTAACATCCCTTAAATACAAACATTTAAGAGTGATTTGGTTTCTTTGGTATACTTTGAATATTTTCTCAAACAATATAATAAGTGTAGTAAATGACTCTCCTATTCATGTTTTTGTCAAAGCCTGATGAAAATATACTCCAAACCACCATAATATTTCCTATGCCTGATCACTGGCTATTTCACTGTTATAGCTAGTAAGCTAGGTCTCACAAATCAGGAGTATATTTATACATGATGAATATTATTCAGTTTCACCAGACAAAGCAAGAGCTATAAGACATATTCAGAATTTTATAATACCAAAGGGAGAAAAAAAAAGTAAAAGATGAACTTCTATAGCATCATATTTAGTATACATCCTATTCAGGTATTTTTTAAAGATTCCTGTGATAGGGGTGGAAGAGGAGGGGAGGAAACACTGCCAAAAAAAAAAGAACAGGTTTTACAAAAAAAAAAAA